TCGCGTCTGTCGGTGGCCGGTTGCCGGCGCGAGTGTGCCAGCCCTCCAGCCCTACAACCTGCAGCCAGAGTGAAGTCTTTTCACCCCAGGGCCATTGCAGCATTGCGCAACAGAGATCTTTTGTTACTGGAGGATCTGTGTATCTTGCTATGCTTCAACAGTTTGATCGCGTCCTGGCTCTTTACATTTGCTTACTTGGATCCCTGTTCGCCAGGGATATAGACTGTTTACGTTTTGGTTTGACTGAGCTCATCCAACATCCGAGAGCCTACACTGGATATCCGCCCGGACTGACTTGCAGACTGTACCGATCGTATTCCGGATCACTGCCGGTGGAGGCGAAGACGAAGAAACCAGGCAGAGTGCCGTATAGTACCTGCTCAACTGTGGTACTGTACGATCCGGCTACCGGTACTCCTCCTCAAAGTATCCACCGCCAGCTCCCGGGCATCTCCTCATCTCTCCCGATCTACTCTGCAGAGCACAATCCCATCCAATCCTGCGCCTTTCCTCGAGGCCCTGCGCCATTATTCTATTCAACGCTTCCTCCTTCAACGTCACTGTTCTGCAGGTAAATCGAGGCCGAGCCCTGTCGCCCTATCCTGCAAGAATGCCAACTGCACCCAAAATTGCCTCCAATGGAAATGGCAATGGGCACCACAATGCTACCACCACAAGCTCGGCAAGAGCCACTAAGAAGAGCGCCTTTTCCTGCGAGCCTTGTCGACGGCGAAAAGTCAAGTGCGGAGGCGAGCAACCCATCTGTAGCCGGTGTCTGGCCCGAAACGATGCATGCGTCTATAAGCTGTGAGTGCTCTCAGCCCAAAGGTCTCTGTTCTTTGACGGCGGCTTCTTTTCGCCTCTGAATTTGAACTGCCTCCGTTCATCATTCTCTCAAAGTTAGGAATGTGAAGTTCTTCTTGGCCTCATTCAGATCTTATCTACATCATCAGAACTGTATCGTCTGGAGTCTCCGCGTGACCCCCGCTGACCTAGCCCAGGAACCCAACTCTTTCCTATACACAGCGCCTGGAAGAGCGGATAAAGGAGCTCGAGGACCAATTGTCCAGATCTCAGTCGCAGGCACTGTCTCAACCCTCGCAGCAAGCTTCGGAGCGCCCCGTGTCAACATCGTTCGACGGCTCTCATCACGGTCATGAGCCTGGGGAGGGCTTGACAGGCACTTTCAGAGAACTGAAGCTGGATGAGAGGGGTGTACTTACGTATCACGGTGCCACGAGTTTCTTCCATCTGCCCAGTGAGTATAATGGGCAGGAGATCGATGCGCCGAGCCCGCCCCTGTCCGAAGACCCTGTGAACGGCAGGAGGGAGCGTCTTGTGAACAATGCTTGGCAGCAACGTGCCCTCGAAGACCTTTCTGAAATACCGGTAAGCAAGCCCCCGGAACAGATTTTGCGCCTTTCGCTTTTTGTCAAGAAGAAACGAGTTTCTAGCCATCCGAAGGCAGCAGCTGAACTGACCCGTCGAATATAGGAACCATTTCAGTATCTTCTGAACACTCATTGGTGCTGGATTCAGCCCCTGTTCAACTTCATCTATCGGCCCGCCTTCACGCGTGACATGCAGTTGCTCGGACAATACTATTCACATACACTTCTGAATGCCATTCTTTCACACTCGGTCCGATGGGGTCGCTGGGACAAGAACACGCGCGAGATTCTTGAGCGCGAGTACGACGGCGGCGCGGTGTTTGGTCGGCATGCTCGCACCATGGTGTTCGACGAAATCGCTAGAGGAGTAGCTACCATTCCGACAGTGCAGACCCTCCTGCTCCTCAGTGCGCAGGAGTGTAGTCAAGGCAACACTTCACAGGCATGGATGTATAGCGGCATGGCGTTCCGGATGATCGACCACCTGGGGATTTGCGTCGACAGCCAGAGGTACACAGATGACATCCCATTTAGTGACGAGGACATTGAGATCCGCCGGCGTCTATTCTGGAGCTGTTATTTCTGGGACAAGATCATCAGTCTGTACCTAGGCAGATCGCCAAGCCTGCAGCAGTCGACGGTGTCCCCACCACAATTAATGCGTAGGTCGAGCGTGCCTGCTTTGTATGCCTTCGTGATGACTGACAATTCAAAACGCAGTCGATGATTCCAACGAGAATGAAATGTGGGCGCCTTTTGGATTGGCGTATCCGGATGGGGTCAAATATCCCCCAATCGCAGCGCATTCGACCTCATGCTTCATGCGCATGTGCCAATTGTCCGTCATTTTCAACCAAATTCTGATCCACATGTACGACCCGTTACGACAAAACCACGAGGCCGAGATGCAGGAGTGCCTGGTCAAGCAAGAAGCCGCCCTGAAGGAGTGGTGGGATGGGTTGGAGGCGTTCCTGAAAATCGAGGCCAGCTCATTACCGCCGCTCTCACCACCGAGCCACGTGGTCACACTCAAGTAAGTCGTCGTGAGCTTCGTCCCGCCAGTCAACCCCCATTCCTGACGCGTTCATCATCAGTTGCCTGTACCATACCTTCAACATCCTTTTACACCGACCGATGCTCTCCCGCGACCGCTCCTCTGCGGACAGCAACCGAGCTAAACATCTGCTCGAGTGCGTCTCCTCGGCGACCTCCATCATTGCCATTTTCGACCTCTTCTGCAGGTCTTTCGGTATTTATCGATCCGTGCTCTCTCTGAGTTACAGTGTCTACATCGCCTCTTCGATATTTTTGCTTCAAGTGCAAGCCGCAGCCGGCATGTCCGGCATGTTGACGGAGGAAGAGCAGCAGCAGCAGCAGCCTGCCCTCCGCAAGCTAGACTTTTGTATCCGCGCGCTTTCACGGCTCAAGGACATTAATCCCATCGTCGGAAGTGCGTGCGGTCTGATCTTACGCGAGCTCTCTAAATTAGGCATCCAGACTCCTGGATCTGCCTCGGGGTTCCAAGATCCTGCCCGTCATGGGCCAAACCCCTCGACGTACAACCATCACCAACAGACGGCTTCGGTATCTTCGGAGTTCCAGACGGACTATCGGGCACGACAAGGCTCATTCTCTGGATTCGGACACCGCCTGAGCCATCACGAGATTATGATGGGCAACACTGATGAGTCGCCCAGCCGGACGCCACCGGGGGAACGACAGGCTTTCTTCCAGTGTCCAGACCGCTTCAAAAATGACAGGCTTGAAAATCGACTGCAGCATCATGGTATTTCGGATCAGGTTTTCGAGGCTGTGTCTTCATTACAACCGATCAGCGCTTCTTTTGGAAATATGACAGGACAACAACAGCATGGACAGTCACACCCTTTCCAAGCTTGAGTCCATCCTAAAGAAGGAGGGGGAGCTTCGAAAGAGGCGATCATATGGTCCCTACCCCCTTAAGGGCTTGAATCCCTCCAACATCTCGGCCAAAGTCGTAAAATATCGAATAGCGGAAAAGATGGCCAGACGAGACAGGGGCGCTTGAGGGCGGAGCGTCCCTTTAAAAATAGGTTCTTGGTCTCACGCGCCAACTCTGAGACGGTGCTTCCTTCGCCATGTCATTGGACCAGCATGCCTCACTTGAGGCAAGATGGAAGTAGGATGTAAGAGACATTTCCAAGACTCCATGGGAAGATGCCGACGACCTGCTCAAGTTCGACTAGGCCCGATTGTGATCAACTGCAGCCAGGACACCACCGTGGGCGAGGAAGGATGCTGGCAAAAGTCTCAAGGTCGTGCTTAGATGGGCACCAATGTCTCCGAGGAAAGAAGCTAGGCATCCCAGAAAGAGAGGGGGAAAAATTCGAAGAGGCGAACAAGCACAAAACGTAGGAATGTACCCGGATCTCCAAGGAAGCCAAAGTGAGAGCCGAGGCAGACCAACACGATCTCAAAAGCGTAGGAGATTTCCAAACGAGAGCCGACTTTGAAAGCAAAAGCGAAGAAGACACTGAGGATCGGAACGAGTTGCCAACTTAGGAAGGGATTAGGTGATGTGGTCAGTTATATAAAGCCGAAAACTGGGGGAGAGTCTAGGCCAACGGAACTGAAAATATTACCCCAGGATTAATCGAGACGTGCTCATCCGGGGTTGCGGAGCAAGATAATTAATAGATAGCCTTGTTAACAGTGACCTAATTTTCACGGCCTAGAGGACCTACTTTAGGCCCAAAGCCTCGGCTAACTTGGATGGATGTAGGGTGCAAGTACGTACCTCTCTCTAGGTATCTAGGTACCTAGGAATGGGCTCTGCCCGAGAAAAGTTGCACCAGAGCCCGTTACTCCACTATTTATACTTCAACGGCGTATGCATTCCAGGGAACGTAGCGTCCACACCCGCTGTACGGTTATCTGATACCCATAAGAGGAGACCACTATCCAGGAAGATGGGGACTTTTTACAAAATTGGGAAGGGATCAAAGAATGCCCTAGGAAAATCCCTGGCTTTTTTTTTTTTACAAAACACAATGTGCTAAAAAGCCGAAAGCTGGGAACGCAACCAAGCTGAGGAGCCCCACAACCTGGAATTCTTCCAGGGCTCATGACGTCTCGCTCCCCCCATCAAGGACAACGATCCAAAGATAGCCGCGGTCGTGTGCGCTGCTTATTTTACTTTTTTGGTCCAAAAACGCTGCAGAGTGAATCTGCCAAGTTCTGGCTCTTGTCAAGTCGGACAACTTCCGTCCTCGTGCATCCAAGTAAACACCCATGCCACAGGTATACTTGGAGGGAGTGAACAGAGCAATTCGGCAGTAAATTTGTAGCAGGGCACTAGGTAGTAGTTGTGGGCTCAGAAAATTGATATTGGCCTCGGCAAGACTATCGACGCACAATGTAAAAGTTGGAAAAAACCAAGATTCCAAGCCGCAGAAACGAATGGTTTTTCAAGAGCAGAAGGATTCTACCTATGATTTCGCCAGAGCTTGTCAAGCTCGTCGCATCATAATCCCATAATCCCGTCAAGCAAAGGTTGCGAATTAGAAATGGAAGATCCATAACTGACCCAGCCCAAAGAGAAAAAAAAGGCTAGGGGAAAAAGACAAAAAATGATTTCACGCGGGCTCGAACCGCGGACCCTGAGCGTGTTAAGCTCATGTCATAACCAACTAGACCATGAAACCATTTATTAAGTGAAAATTCATCAAATTTATATAGTCAAGATTCTCAGGCAAAAATTGCTGCCATTGTTTTCCAATTTAGAAATGATCAGAAATGGGCGTTAGTGCTTGATTTGCTCTGTCCATACCGAGATTGATGGAACAAATTGATGAAGTGTCCTTCGGATTCATCCCTACGCTGCAGTGGACGACCCATGGGCGATCAGTTTTCATAGGGTTGTTCGGCATAAAACATGCTGCAGATCAGGAACCATCTCGCTTCTCTGCACGACATCAGCCGAATGACTCCAATGCCGAGTCTGGCAGCGATCATAGACCCTGATCTCTCCCAACACGACAAGACTTCGAATACACAATGTAACTTGGCTGTATAAGTGGGCTTTACTGTCTCCGCTCATTATTGAATTTGAATACATATATTCCCATGGTAGGCAACTGCAAACATGAGAAATGTCCCGTCCTTGGTCATTAATCATTCCTCCATTCCGGAGTATCACAAACTCCTGGCACGGCCTGTCAGAAATTCCCAAAGAAAGTCCCTTTGATCAACCGATTTCCCACAACGCCTTGCTTGTCATACTTTCGTACTCGTAAAAAATAAATAAAGACAACTTAGAAATCAGCCATCCTCTGCTTCTAAGTCCACAGCTGTGCTGCATTGGTTCTGAATATTCTAGTGACCAGCTCTTGGTCACCGTTACACCAGCGCATCACACTCTCGATCCATGGTCTAATATCGAGTCCTTCAAATCTTGTCTGGAACACGGAAGAAAATGACAGGTTAGTACGTGATAGGCCGGAAATGTGTTTATACGGCAGAACCCAGGAGCAATTTACTCACGTGCGGCCAGTCTGTTGCAAACAGAATCCTGCTCGGAGCCACCCTTAGAAGTTCCTTGGCGATGGGCTCCACATCCTCGACATAGTCAACATGCTTGCTGAATCGGTACGCAGCGGACATCTTGACCCAGGTGTTTCCAGCTTGTAGAAGCCTGACTAGTGAGGCGAAACCGTCTAGGCTATAAGGGTCCAAGTTTGAGGTGTTTGAGGATAAGCCTGGGGATCCCATATGGTCGATACAAAGTCGCACTCCCAGATCCGGGACAATTGTCTCCAGAGCCTTGGCCATGGTTAAAGGTATATAGACCTGAATGACCCATCCCATTGGCCGGACCATCTCAGCATACTGGCGAAGGACAGCCCCCATCTCATCATGGCTCATTGCCTTTGAGGTAGATTGCAAGTTCACTCGCACGCCTCTCACCCCAAGGTCATGCCATTCTTGCAGCGTGGCGATCGTTGTGGTGTCGGGATCAAAAGCCACCACACCTCTCGCTATTGCCGGGCCGAGCGTTCGCAGTGAGTCTAGCAGACATGAATTATCATAGCCATAGATGGAGGGCTGGACAATGACAACATTCGAGGCTCCGACTGAAGTCTCGAAAGCAACGGCTTGGGCAATGGTGTGTCTGCTTGGCTTGTATATGGCGGTTGGTGATAGAGGATATTGGGAGGCGTCCACGATATGCATGTGACTGTCCCACGATCCTGGTGGCATACGTGTCAAGGACCGCACATCTAGTCGCACCTGCTGTTGCGTAGGGATGTATTCTTCGTGTGTCGAGGTGGCCTTGTTCCCTCGGTCGACCGCTGTTGGTGTTGCGGGTCGTTGTTGGAACGCTCTCACATCAAGAGCGCTGCTTGGACGCAGTACATTCCTAAGCAGGGAAGCCATGTTTGAAGTACCATGTACGAAAGGATGTCATAGATTGGCAGTGCAAAGGTAAGGTGGTGTGGATTTCCTTGAGATGCAGGAGTGAAGATGGTTGACACAGCTCAAAACCTGGTGAACAATTGGGATGTCCTGTCAGCTCAACGTGCCGATTTGGCCAGAGACAGGGTCAGACGACCCCAGATCGATTCTCGTGGTCTAGGCCAGTCTGCCAGAAGGACTCTCTTTTTTTTGCCCATCAAAGTGGAAAGTCTCCGAATAGGTATGGGGCAAAGGGTTCATCACGATGCATTGCTCCTGGAGACCAGTTCGCATGCACCGGTGTGCAGTGTCCCCCGCTATACTGTGTATTATGGTCTAAACACGCCGTGGCAAATCGGAACGGCTGCCGCGATTGTGTCAAACCGGCGGCCTTGGCAGAATAAACTTCCAGGTGCCCACGAGACAACCCACCGGGACCCTGGACACGGCGTGGCTCCGGGAAAGGAAGGGTTCGTCTTCGGGAGAACTCCGACCTGGTCTAGATGAGGTTGTCGCAGTACACCGGTAAGCAATCGACGTCACCTGCAACCAAATCGGCGGGCCGTACTGTACGTCGTCGAGTGGCCCTGGGGGAAAAAGGTGACAAGGGGACGATGTTCTAGGCTCTCTCTGTATCAATTCCTTTCATGGACCAAAGATCAATGGTCCGTCCTCCTTGTGCCGTCGGAGTCATCGCCAGTTCACGAAGGGTTCTCTCTATGTTATGTCGATTTTTGGGCCTTCTCGGCTGGATCCCGAATCCTTTGGGGGGTAGTTCGCGTGTCGTGACTCGCTTCACCAAAGATATGCTCTGGCCTCGTCGAGCCTAGACGCAGGCAGTAGGTCCAGAAAGGCAGCGATCAACCTGGATGTGTCTGACACAGTCCTGGGGCAACATTTTGAACGCCAACTCTGCACAAACGAGTCTCCTTGGCTCGGACAACGTCCGTCAACGCCTAGATCCACCTGTGCGCCCCACCACATGAGATAACGGGGAAATCAAGATGGCGAAATCTCTGAAATCTCTCTCTCCAACATCACCACAACGCGGGGCGGAAACAGCCAGACCACAGCCGAACTCTGGGGTGAAGCAAACGCAACCCACACCCCCTCCCCTCCATCGTCTACTTTCCCCAAATCGTGCCATTCTCGATCTGGGGTTGATCCCGTGCTTTTTCGAGCATCTCCTGCTGAATCTTTCCCCCTTCCCCCCTTCCCCTCCCCGCGGGCCGTCATCTGTCGCCCTGACGTGACCCCGTCTAACCGCATGTTGCGGCCCCTGTCCGGGATCGTGTGGACGACCAGATCCTCATACAGCTTGTCATCTCCCTCCGACTCGAGCGGCCCAGCAGCCTCGCCAAGACACGGCTAGTAGACACTTTAGCGGAGATCACCCGAAGTGTGTACGCATCCCGTGTGGCCGACTACGGATAGCCGCCAGGCCCAATCTCTCTCACACACGCCCCCCTCGAAGCAAAGAAAGGCACCCCGGCCCACTGTTCTCGGGAGAGTACGGTCCGTTCGTCTTCGGTGCAACCGGCGGTGCATTGGCCGGCCGATATGTTCTCGCCCAAGTCTTCGCCTTGGATGGGACCTATCAACTGGTACTATGTTCTCGCCATCTGTGTCATGGGCTGCGGCTCTATCCCCAAGGGGTGGGACGAGGGTGGCTTTAGTGCGGCCACTTCATTACCTTCCTTTATGAATGTGTATGACCTCAACCCGAGTCAGTGGGTAGATGATGCTTCTGGCCTTGCCAGTAGGAAGGCCGACATCACCTCCCTGGGTGTTCTGGGCGCCTGCTTCGGCTCCCTGCTGGCACTGACCATGACGGACCGTATTGGCCGCTTGAGGAGCTGGCAGGCCCTGGCACTGGTTTACATGAGTGGCTGCCTGATGCAAGCATTTGCGTCGGGAGTATATGGCTTCTTGTTGTTTGCTCGTGTCTGGGGAGGTCTTGGTGCAGGAGGGCTCACAGTTGTTGGACCACTGTACCTATCAGAGGTCGCGCCAGCTAAGAGCCGTGGCATGATTGTCAGGTTAGTAGAGAAAATCTTGTCGTTATGTCGTTACACCAAGGAGGGGTGAACTGACCATTACTATCACCGTAGCATCTCTATGGTATTCTTGTTGTCATTTTTGTCTCTTGGTTAGCATGATTCCCCGGCCCCCTCCCTCTCTTTTCACGTAATAGTAGGAACATACTTCCTCACCATATGCCACTAGGTTTCTTCATCAATTATGCCGCAAATGTCACCATGCCAGTTACGCGTGCTCAATACCGCCTAGTCATTGCGATTCCTCTGATACCTGTAGGAACTGCTCTCATCGCATCCTTCTTCATCTCCGACACTCCGAGATGGTTGGCGTCGAAGGATCGGGGTGATGAGGCTCTTGCTGTTCTCGCGAGGCTGCGGCACACCAGCCCTGATGACCACCAGTTGCAGATGGAATATGCTGAAATACAAGAGCAAATCCGTTCTCATGAGAAGCTGCTATCTGATGTATCAAACTGGGATATCATTAAGGAGACCTGGACTGTGCCGTCCTATCGCCAGCGATTTCTCCTGGCCACGATGATGCAGACTGTTGCACAGTGGTCTGGTGGGAATGGTATCACGTACTATATCCCGCAAATCTTCCAATATGCCGGCGTTACTGGACACAATACATCGCTTATTACTTCTGGTGTATATGGTCTTGTGAAGCTCGTGTTTACCATGGTCTTTACTTGGGGGTTGGTCGACGTGATTGGCCGCCGTCGCTGTTTTCTCTACGGGCTGTCCATGCAACTCGGCGCGCACATATTCAGTACGTACTCTGCAACTCCGGAACCCTACCAACACATTTTCTTGCCTTGCCTCCCAAGTGCAGTGTGCAGGCGTGCAGATCTTCGCTGGGAGCGTTTGTCACCTCCCACACCGAATGCATCCAACTTTCTCTTCCTCATCTTTCTCATATGAATTTCACGCTAATAAACATACAGTGTCTGTCTATATGGGCGTCTGGGTCAGTCATGATCATGCCGATAAGAGGGCTTCGGAGGCTGCCATAGCAAGCGTATTCATCTATGCCATAGGTTGGTCTATCGGCTTGTGTACCGTCCAATTTCTCTACGGCACTGAGATTTTCCCGACGCGCATTCGCAGTGTATGCTATGCGTTCAACATGTCGCTCCACTGGCTATTTCAATTCGCTGTTGTCAGGGTCACACCCAACATGTTCGTCAGCCTCCATATCTGGGGTACAT